GTCGGTCCTCACTCACCGCCGAGCCGTGCCGGTTCCGAGTGCGCGGCGTTCCGCTGTGAGGCGATGCGCTGCGATGCGCGCTATCCCCGCTTCTCCGCAGGCTGTGGAGGCGACGTAGTAGGACGACTGAGGGGAGCTGGGGTCAGTCCCTCCCGCTTCACCTCTCAGAAACGCGGGGACCCCAGAAACTAAAAACAAAATAAACAAACTTTCCCCTCCGCCTCCCTCCCCCAAAACCACAACACAAACACTCGAGGGGCCGCCCACAGCCTCATTCCATTGGCTTCGGGAAGGATGCCTCCGACTCTCACTGGCTGGCTTTTGTGCTCGTCAAGCTGATGCTCCGCCCCTCCAATTCCTCGCCGCGGCCGTCGCCCCTCATTGGCCAAGTGCTTCCCGTTTGACGAGCTAGGATTGGCTGAGCTGCCTGCACCAATCATTCGGGGACACACCCCCTTAGCATCCCAGAGGCCGCTTCCTCGGTTGCCGACCCGGAGAGGCGAAGGGGAAACTAGAGCATGATGGCGGCCGAGCTCAGTTGGCCCAACCATCGTCTTTTTTCTTTTTCTTTTTTTTTTTTTTTAGCTCATTAGTGCTTAGCCCCTGCGCATTATCCCCCAAGTTCCTCTCTGCATCCAGTTCTGCCTAATAACGGAATGTATACGTGCCGGCTCCTTGATTTATCTCCCTCGAAGCGCCGAGCGCGGGCTGGTTGTACGTCATTGGACCGTCAGAATGTCACTCCCTAGTCAGATCTTCACACTATTGGCGGAACAGCAAGAAAGCCCGTCCAGCAACAAGGGCCAATGCCATTGGTTTGACTCCACGCAGTTCTTTTCTGGTCCCTTATTGGGCAACCGGGCGCGTCGGTCAGACGTGGTCTCCGCTCTGCTCGCTAATTGTTTACCGGGGAGTTTGGATGAGCCTGGTCCTTCGGCCTGCGGTTGACGATAATAATGACTCCCACTTATTGCGTGCCCGCTTTGTGCCAAATACTGTGCGGAGTCCTTTGCAGGGATGGCCTGTGCGTTTTACAAATTCTCTAAATTTTACAGATAGGAAACCAAGGTGCCGGAGAAGTTGGGAAACTCTCCCAAGGTCACCCAGAGAGAAGGCAGTTGCTGGGCCCCGCGTTTGGCCCTGGATCTGACTCCAGAACCTTCTCTCTTCTCATTGTACTTTAGTGCCTTTCTCTTAGCCCAGAATTGTACCTGGCAGCCAGCCCAACAACTTAAAAACATTTCATTCAGAACCCACGTTCCTTCATCAGTTTCTAGAAGTGACATTACTGGGAACTAAAGCTATGGAGAGGTTGTCATCGCCTCCACCACATCCTCCGCCCCAGGGCCCACCCTAAAATAAACAGTCGTGGTGCTTCGGGACCAGAAGCCCATCTCTCTCTCTCTCTGTTTATTTTCTCAGCTTTATGAATGGGCATTTCTACCATCCTTGTGTGCCAAGCCTACCTCCTCGATCCCCACCCTCTCTTTGGAGATAGTCCTCAGGAGCTGGAAGCAAGGAGCAGAATTCTAAAGGGAGAAAGAATAAATCGCTTTAGAAATAAATAATTGATTGCATGCAAAGGGAACAGCCCTTCGCCTCCTGGAAAGCTTCCAGAGTCATCCCTGACGCTGTCAGACGTGTGCTCCTGGCTTGCGGCCACTGGATTCTTTCTCTGTGGCAGCTACAGAGAAGTGAATCCAGCATTCCAGCCAGGGGAGGGCAGGATGCTCAGGACCCACTGCCAGAGAGCCAGCCCCAGCCTCTGGGACTGAAATGATCTGCAGGAGGACAGTGCTGGACTCGAGCCTGAATTCCATCTCCAGTAATTAACATTTTACCATCCAAAATCCCCATCCTCTGTAGCTTCAGTGGAATCAGCACCCTCATGTCACTTCCTGATCCAAGCTGTTGTGTAACCTCATTGGCAGTGCTTTAATAATAAAACCACCACTGTAACAGTAATAATGCTCAACACTTAAAGCCTTTCCGCAGAGGAAGACAAGGCATTTCACAAACATCAATTAAGATGAAATGGCAGGTATTCCTAGAGCAACTGACAGCAGAAAATCATGTGTCAAATTTCAATAAAGGTCCTAAAATCTTGAATCCTTATAACCACATGCACACACCCCATACTAGCATTCCAATATGGGATTCTGATCTAGAAAACACAATGGATGAGAAATGTTCAAGGTCCAAAACCTTCCTTATCTTTATAGTTGGTTGTCTGTACCTCCATTTTAACCCCTAAACTGTACAGCACTTGGTTTTATAGTTAATTGTCAGACACATCTATCTCCCCCAACTCATTTGTGAGTTCCTTGACAACTAATGGTTTCTTTTTCATCTTTGTAGCCCTTAAATTGCTCTGATTATGAAAGTTCTCCAAATAATAATTATTTGGTAAGTGAAACATTGCTGGAGGCAAAAAAAAAAAAAAAAAAATGACAAAACTGGAGCTGTCCTACTTCAGGCACGTCATGAGAAGGCAGGCTACTTTGGAAAGGATAATGATGCTGGGGAAAACACAAGGCAACAGGAAAAGAGGAAGACCAAACATGAGATGGACTGGCTTCACAAAAGAAGCGATAGGAATGAGTCTACAGGAGCTGAGCATGGCTGTTGAGGACAGAACACTGTGGACATCCATCACTCATTAATAGGGTTGCCAGAAGTTGGAGCCGACTCAACGGCATGTAAGGCACGTAACACACACAAATGTTTATTGAGCCTGTTGGCACTTTCCTAAGACATAAAGGCTACACGGATGAATAAAACACCTCTGCTTTCAGGACATCAGTCTAGTGGGGGTGACCAACAGGTAAACAGATAGTCACAGTGCAGGTGGCTTATAGCACATGGGAGGGACACAGAACTCAATGTTGGATGGACAGGGATGGCTTCCCAGAAGAAGTGATGTCTACAAGGAGAACTCAAGGATCAATTGTGGTTGGCTAGGCAAGAGACTGGAAATATGTGATGACCTGCCACATTTGCTCCTGGGGGCAGGGAGCAGGATAGAAGTATCCAGGAGTGACCAAAGATCCTTCCTTTAATCTTGTCTTTGAGGGCCTTCAGCTATATGTTCACTCCACCTCAAGGTACTTCCCTCCCCAGGAGAAAGCAGGAAGCTAGAATCCCTGTCATATTTGCCCATTTGAGAATAGGAAAATAATTTTCAGATTAGATTGGTTTCTTTTTGATCATAAAAGTAATACTCAGTGAAGATTTCAGACAATACAGAAAGTTTTATCATAGGAAATAAAAGTTCCCCCAAATCCCACTACTAGAGCCACCCACCATTAAGGAGAATTTCCTCCCAGACTCTTTTATGAATAGATTCACACATGGATTTCTTCCAACAGTGGGATGTGGTTTAGGGTCTTGTCTGCACTCTGAGAGCTCCCATTGCTCAGAACTAAAGCTTTGGAAGGAACCTGTCCTCACTTTCTATACTTATGGGAAGGAAGCCAAATATTTATTGCAGAGGACGATGGTTTCAAATTCCTGTCACAGCAAATGACAAATTACCACCTGTTACAGGACTTTGGGGCTTGCTCAGCCTAGTGTGGAGACAATGAACGGCAGGAGGAAAGGGAGGGGGGCTGCTGTGTTTACTGCTCTAGGGCTCACTGGCATGCTTTGGTGGCTATAGAGTCAATCCATGCCTAGACAAGGCAGCCCAGGTCAGAGAATGACATGCTAGGGTGTTCTCCTCTGCTCTCTTTCTCATTTCTTCTCTGCACGCTACTTGGGGAAAATATTTTTTGTTTGTTTGTTCCAACCCACACTTTGGAAGTAAAAAGACCCATCAAGCCTCTCATACCTGCATGCAGGCCAAGTACAGTATGTTCTTGGAACTCTATACTATTCTTAGAGCTCTATATGTGGTGTTCTATGCAGCTGGCTTTTTGCTGGAGGGAAAGGCAGATTTAATGAGTGATAGCTGCCTTGGATGGCTACCAAAAGTGCTCTGAGCCATTCCAAGCAATAGGCCTTCCTTTTTTCCCTTGAGAGTGTTCTGTGATCCCTGAACACATTGCATTGGCCTGGACAAAATCCAATGCAACAGGAATTTCTGCAAATGATTCTGCATTGACCCACAAGCTAGGGGTGACATAGCCAGCTGGATCTGCTCCAGCTCTGATTTCTGTGGCACAGGAAAACTCCCTCTACCCTTTGCACTGGCCTCTTCATTGCTGTGAGACATTTGGAAGTGTTTGCAAAGCATTCTTCAATTCTCCAAACTTATAAACATGGGAAGATCCCTGCAAAGGAACTCAATCCAAAAAGACAAGAGGACGAGACAGCTGATACTGCTCACTTGCACAGTGGTTGTGGCCAGAGCCAAGGCCATGAGCAGTGGGGGAGGGGAGCTTTCTAAAGGGTGCCAATTACAGAGGACATGCTCATAAGCATTTATTACATGTCTGGTAGCATTTATTGTGCAACAAAGCCTTTGTGACAGACGCTGTACCACTTCTAAGACACCTCACATTTCTTAAGACCACACTTCCTGAAAAGCTCCCAGTGAAGCAGAAGACGCTGAACTGCTCCTGTGCGCCACCGATGCTCGACCACAGCAGGCTCACGAAAGAACAGGAGAGGTGCCTGTTAATAAGAGCTACGCTTTCATGAACACCGGCTGTGTGTCAGATCTGTGCGAGGGCTTTTCAAGGATCCTGGCAGTAAATCTTCACAACAAATGTGGTTTTCCTATTTCCAGATAGGGAAACTGAGGTGCTGAAGGGCTAACTTGCCCTAGGTTACCACAAGTAATAACCTTGCAGTTGAACCCAGGTAGTCTGACTCTAAACTCTTTTCCATGCTGCTATGTTGCCATGAGATGTCTGTCCTAAGAAAGCTGCAGTGCCACTGGGGAGACAACCAGCCTCCCAATGAGCACAGCCTTTATGAGCTCTCCATGCTCTTCTCCCTACAGACTCAGGGAAAGAGGCCCACCGCTTCCTGGCTAAATTATTCCCTTTGATGGTCCTTCTACTTCCTAATTGAGATCTGGCTTTCCTGCCACTCCCATCAAAATAGCTCCCTTCCCTTCCCTTCCCTTCCCTTCCCTTCCCTTCCCTTCCCTTCCC